CCCCCCCCAGGAGCCACCAGTGGCTCTTTTTTTGGGGGTGGAATTTTGTGCTCAAACCTCCCAGTTTTGGTCAAAAGGAGTTGCCCCCCCCCCCGGAATTGGGGGGTTTTGGGGTTTTTTTGTGCTGCTTTAAATTGTTGTTGTGTCTCTGTAGGGGGGGGGGGTGTTCTGACCCCCCCCAATTAACCCTCCCACACCGTTGGGGTCTGTGATTAATTAGGGGGGGGCACTTAACGAACCCCCAGCTCGTTTAGGCCCCTCCAGGAGCGAGAAACAGCCTCTGGTTCAACCCCCCCTTGCCCAAATATTGACATTTTTGGGGGGTTTTTGCCCCCCCACCCTAAAAACAGCCCCCCCAGCCCCCCCTGGGTGCCCTCCTTAAGGAAACTGGGCCATAATTAAGCCGTAATTAACAGTGATTAAGTGATGTCAGAGCCTGAAAGCCCCGCGGGGGGGTCATTAAGGGGGGGCTTGGCCTTAATTAATGGGCTGTTAACGAGTGGTTTGTTCATTAGTCAGGGGGTTTAATTAAAGGGTGGGGGGTGACACCCCCAAATGAGCACTTTGTCAAGGGCCAGCTCGTTAATTAACCCCTGGTTAATTAAAGTGGGGGTTGGAAAGGGGGGCTGTGCCCCCCCAGCCCCTGCCCCTGATAATGGGGGGGGGGAGTTTGGGGTCTGAACCCCCCCCAAAGTGACCCCAAATCCTTCTGTCCCCCCACAGAGGGGGCACAGCATTAATGTGTTAATTAATGTGTTAATTAACGTGTTAATGAGTGACACAAACGAGGCCACGGTGTCATTGGGGGGGCTGTGACCCCCCCCCGGGGTCCCCTGGGGGTCCCTCATTGGGGCAACTCCATTTTGGGGCCGTTTCCTGCAGTTTTGGGGCCATTTCCTCCTTTTTCGGGCTCAATTCCTTCCTTTTTTGGGGTCATTTCCCTCCTTTTTAGTGTTTATTTTCCTCTCTTTTAAGGACAATTTCCTCCTCTTTTGGGCTCCATTTCTCCCTTTTTTTGGGGCCTCTTTTCTCCTTTTTTTTAGAGTCGAGTTCCCCCTTTTGGGGCTCCATTTCTTCCTTTTTGGGGGGTTGTTTCCTCCTCTTTTGGGCTCAGTTCCCTCCTTTTTGGGCTTTATTTCATCCTCTTTCGAGCACAATTCCCCCTTTTTTGGGGGTTGATTTCTGCCCTTTTGAGGGGGGACAATTTTCTCGGGTTTTGGAGTTTATTGTCCACTTTTGGGCTCAATTTCCTCACTTTGAGCTCCATTTCCTCACTTTGGGGAGTGATTTCCCCCTTTTTGGGAGGGGATTTCCCTCTTTTTTGTCCTTCTTTTTTGGGCTCCATTTTCTCTGTTTGGGGCTCAATTTCCCCCCTTTTTAGGCTCATTTTTCCCCTTTTTTAGGCTCAATTTTCCCCTTTTTTGGGCTCAGTTCTCCCCTCTTTTGAGCTCAATTTCCTGCTTTTTTAAGCTCAATTCCCCCGTTTTTTAGCCTCGATTTCCCCCTTTTTTTAGGCTCAATTTCTCCCTTTTTCGAGCTCAATTTCCCCCTTTTTAGGCTCAATTTTCCACTCTTTTATGCTCAATTTCCCCCTTTTTTAGGCTCGATTTCCCCTTTTTTCCCCCAAACCCCCGTCCATCCCTATCAGGGGGTGTCACTGGGGACCCTCTGTGTGGGTCCCAGGGGGGTTCCCACCCTCTCTGTGGGTCCCAGGGGGTTCCCACCCTCTCTGTGGGTCCCAGGGGGGGTCTCACCCCTCTCTTCCCCCCCCAGGCTGTTCCTGCCATGGGCTCCGGCCCCATCGACCCCAAGGAGCTCCTGAAGGGCCTCGACTGTTTCCTGGGCCGGGATGGAGAGGTCAAGACCATGGATGGCATCTCCAAAATCTTCAGGTGAGACCCCCCTGCACTCCCCACCCCCATTTTGGGTGATTTTGGGGTCCTGACCCCCCTTTTTTCCCCCCCCCCAGCCTGATGAAGGACTCGCAGAAGATGGTGAGTCGCTGCATCTACCTGAACATCCTGCTGCAGACCCGCGCCCAGGACATCCTCAACAAGTGAGCTGGGGCTGCCCTGGGGGGCTCCCGGGGGGGATTCCCACCTTTTTATCCCGATCCTCATGGAATTGTGCCCCTCTCCCCCCCAGGTTCATCAGGATCGGGGGCTACAAGCTGCTCAACACGTGGCTCACGGGCTCCAAGGCCTCCAACAACGTCCCGTTCCTGCAGCAGATCCTGCTCACGCTGCAGCACCTCCCGCTCACCGTCGACCACCTCAAGCAGGTGGGGGGGCTTTGGGGACCCCCAGGGAGGGTTTGGGGACCCCCCGGGGGGGGTTGGGGACCCCCAAGGTGGCTCCTGTCCCATTTGGATCCTCCTCAGGGGTGGCTTTGGTGTCCCTGAGGTGGCTTTTGGGTCCCCTCGGCTGGTTTTTGGATCCCCCAGAGTGGCTTTTGTCTCTTTAGGGTCCCCCCCAAGGTGTCTTTTGTGCCCTTTGGGTCCCCTCAAAGTGGCTTTTGTCTCTTTTGGGTCCCTGTGGTGGCTTTTGGGTTCCCCCAAAGTGGCTTTTGTTCCTTTTGGGTCCCCCAAGGTGTCTTTTGTCCCCTTTGGGGTCCCCCAAGGTGTCTTTTGTCCCCTTTTGTCCCCTTTTCGGGTGGTTTCCGTGTCCCCCAGGGGGGTTTTGGCTCTTTGAGGTGACATTGGGGTCCCCTCAGGTGGTTTTTGTCTCCCTGGGGTGGCTTTTGTGTCCCCCTGGGGTCCCTTTTTCCCCCCTGACTCCCCTCGTGCTCTGCAGAACAACACGGCCAAGCTGGTGAAGCAGCTCAGCAAGTCCAGTGATGATGAGGGTGAGTGAGACCCCCCTGAGACCCCAAAAACCCTCCCTCAGACCCCCCAGACCCTCCTGAGATCCCTCAAACCCCCCAACTCCTCCTGAGATCCCAAAAACCCTCCCTCAGACCACTCAAACCCCTCTCAGACCTCCCAAACCTTCCTCAGACCCCTCAAAACCCCCCTCAGACCCCCCCAAACCTCCTCCTGGTCCCGTGTCCCGCTCCCTGGTGGATTAATTACTGATTAATTAACATTTAATCACTGTTTGCCCCCCAGAGCTGCGGCGCCTGGCCTCCATCCTGGTCAGCGACTGGATGGGCGTCATCCGCTCCCAGAGCAGCTCCCAACCCACAGGTGAGACCCCAAATCCCCCCCAAAATCCCCCCAAAACCCCCCCAGATCCACCCCCCGCCATTCCCATGCGTCTCCCTCCCCCCAGAACGGGACAAAAAGAAGCGGAAAGAGGAAACCAAGAGCAAAACCCCCGTCCAGGAGAAGCCCCAGGAGGCCAAGAACGAGGCCAAGAACGAGGAGGCGCCGGAGAAAAAGCGGGAAAAGCCCAAATCCCTTCGGACCACGGCCCCCAGCCACGCCAAGTTCCGCTCCACGGGTAAGGAGTTGGGGCTGGGCCCCTTTTTTGGGGGGATTTGGGGCCGGTTTTGGGGGATTTGGGGCCTTTTTGGGGGGATTTGGGGCCGGTTGGGGGATTTGGGGCTGGTTTTAGGGGTTTTGAGGGGCTGGTTTTTTGTTTTTAGGGCTGTTTTGGGGGCTGGTTTTTGGGGTTTAGGGGTTTTGGGGACCTGGTTTTTGGGGTTTGGGACTGATTTTGGGGGCTGTTTTTGGGGCTGGTTTTGGGGGCTGGTTTTTGGGTTTTAGGGGTTTTGGGGACCTGTTTTTTGGGATTTGGGGCCGTTTTGAAGTTTGATGTTGATCTGGGGAATCTGAGGGGCCCTGCTGGTTTTTGGGGTGCCCTGGGACCCCCCTGACCCCGTTTCCCCCCAGGGCTGGAGCTGGAGACGCCGTCACTGGCGCCGGTGAAGAAACTCAACTCGGGCGTCTCCGACAAGTACAACCTGAAACCCGTCCCCGTCAAGAGGCAGAAGTGAGTCTGGGGGGCTCCTGGGGGGCTTTGGGGGGCTTGGGGCCCCTTTTGGGGGTCTCAGATCCCATTTTAAGGGATTTGGGGCCACTTTGGAGGGTCTCGCACCTTTTCTTGGGGATCTCAGACCCGCTTTTGGGGTTTCAAAAGCTGCTTTTCCAGGGTCTGGAACCCACTTTTGGGGATTCTCAGACCCGATTTTGGGGGGTCTTAGGGCTGTTTTGGGGTCTTTGGGGTCACTTTTGGGGGTCCTGACCCGTTTTCCCCCCTCAGCCCCTGGAGAGGCCCCTCTGGGGATCCTAGGGCTGTTCTGGGGGACTCTGGGCTGGTTTGGGGTCAGTTTTGGGGTCTCTGGGTTGGTTTGGGGTCAGTTTTGGGGTCTCTGGGTTGGTTTGGGGTCAGTTTTGGGGTCTTTGGGGTCAGTTTTGGGGGTCCTGACCCATTTTCCCCCTCAGTGCCCTGTCAGGCCCTGGGGAGGCCCCTCTGGGGATCCTGGGGCTGTTCTGGGGATCTCTGGGCTGTTTTGGGGTCAGTTTTGGTGTCTCTGGGTTGGTTTGGGGTCAGTTTTGGGGGTCCTGACCCGTTTTCCCCCCTCAGCCCCTGGGGAGGCCCCTCTGGGGATCCTGGGGCTGTTCTGGGGGTTTCTGGGTTGGTTTGGGGTCAGTTTTGGGGTCTCTGGGTTGGTTTGGGGTCAGTTTTGGGGGTCCTGACCCGTTTTTCCCCCCCAGTGCCCCGTCAGGCCCCGGGGAGGCCCCTCTGGCAGAGAAGAAATACAAACCCCTGAACACGGCGCCCAACGCGGCCAAGGAGATCAAAGTGAAGATCATCCCCCCCCAGCGTGAGTTTGGGGGGATTTGGGGGGTCTGGGAGGGGTTGGAGTGGGATTTTGGGGGGTTTTGGGGTGATTTAGGTGGTTTTAGGTGATTTCTGGGTGTATTTTGGGGGCCTCGGTCACCCCCAAACAGGAACCTTTTTGGGGACACTTTGGGTACATTTTGGGGACACTTTGGGTACAATTTTGGGGACAGTTTAAGTGACATTTTGGGGACAATTTGGGTACCATTTTGGGGACACTTTGGGTGCCCTTTTGGGGACAATTCCAATGTTTTTGGGTGATACCTGGATGGCGTTTTTGGGAACGATCCAGATCCTGTTTTGGGGAGGATTTAGGAGCTGTTCTAGGGACACTTCAGGTGCCATTTTGGGGACAGTTGAGTTGCCATTTTGGGGTGATTCAGGTGGTGTTTTTGGGGTGACTGAGGTGCCATTTTGGGGTGAATTTTGGGGTTTTCTCCCTCAGCCATGGAAGGTCTGGGGTTCCTGGACGCCCTGAACTCGGCGCCCGTCCCGGGCATCAAGATCAAGAAGAAGAAGAAGGTTCTGTCCCCAACAGCAGCCAAGGTGAGGAACCCCCGGAATTTGGGGTCCCCCTCTGGAATTTGGGGTGATTTTTGGGGTACTTTGAGTCCCTTTTTGGAGAAGAGTTTTAGTCCCTTTTTGGGAACACTTTTAGTCCCTTTTTGGGGACCATTTGGGTGCCATTTTGGGGGACACTTTGGGACCACTTTGGGAGCCTTTTTGGGGGACAGTTTGGGAACACTTTGAGTCCCATTTTGGGGAACATTGTCTGTTTTTGGGGCCGTTTTGGGGAACACTTTTAGTCCCTTTTTGGGAACATTTTAGTCCCTTTTTGGGAACACTTTTAGTCCCTTTTTGGGGACCATTTGGTGCCATTTTGGGGGACACTTTGGGAACACTTTGAGTCCATTTTTTGGGGGACACTTTGGGAACACTTTGAGAGCCATTTTGTCCATTTTTGGGACCATTTTGGAGAACACTTTTAGTCCCTTCTTGGAGAACACTTTTAGTCCCTTTTTGGGAACATTTTAGTCCCTTTTTGGAGAACACTTTTAGTCCCTTTTTGGGAACACTTTATGTCCCTTTTTGGGAATATTTTAGTCCCTTTTTTGGGAACATTTTAGTCCCTTTTTGGGGACCATTTGGTGCCATTTTGGGGGGACCCTTTGGGTACCATTTTAGGAACAGTTTGAGTCCTTTCCCTGGAACTCTTTGGGTGCCATTTTGGGACCTCTTTGGGTGCCATTTTGGGGAATGCTTCGAGTCCCATTTTGGGGGCCGTTTTGGGGTCAAACCATGTGGTTTTGGGTCTGAGCCCTGCCCTGTGCCCCCCAGCCCAGCCCCTTCGAGGGGAAGCCGCCCCCCGAGCCCAGCACGGCCAAACCCTCGTCCCCGGAGCCGGCGGCCGA